GATTTCCTGGGTGGAGATGGGGCTGAGCAATTACCCTGCAGCATTTGGTGATGGGAGAGTGGGTGGGGAAATGAGGCAGGTGTAGCATTAGGTGGTAAAAGGGGAGCACAGGCAGAGAGAAAAGGGTGAGTAATGCAGATTCCTGACATGTGGGAGAGTGCAGGTGCGAGGATTAGGGACAGAGTCCTGCCAGAGTTCGCAAGGCCAGGAGGCCAGTCCGGGGATGAGAGAGAGGCTTTATTTTAGAGGAGCAGAATGGAGCCTGACCAGAAGTCAGCTCAACTCACACAGTTTCAGGGAACTTTTATTAATGTAGTTGGAATGTGGAAGGGGCTCATGAGAGGTGAGGGAGGGAAGTTATCTTTCCTGCAGATTGACAGATGCTGAGACTGGGTGGCACCTGTAGGTCAGTGGGCAGGGCGCTGGCCACATACACGGAGAGCGGCGGGTTCAAACCCAGCCAGGCAGCTAAAACAACAATGACAACTGCAGCAACAACAACAACAACAAAATAGCTGGGAGTTGTGGCAGGCAACTGTAGTCCCAGCTACTTGGGAGGCTGAGGCAAGAGAATGGCTTCAGCCCAAGAGTTTGAGGTTGCTGTGAGCTGTGACAGCATGCCACTCTACCCAGGGTGACAACTTGAGACTGTCTCCAAAAAAAAAAAAGAAAGAAAGAAAGATGCTGAGACTGATTTGAGACTTAGTGCCTTCCACAAACGGTGTTAAGCTTTCAGGAAGGCCTTATCTCTAGTGCCAGTCAGGACCAGGGTGGGGGATGCTGATGCTTCTCAGGAACCTCGGCCTTAAAGCATTTCAGGAGGGTGGGGAGGGCTTGCTGTGACCATGCCATTTAATCTCTGCCCTGCCATCTATCACTAGATGTCCTCCCAGGATGGCTGTACTTTTGTCAGGGTCCCAAGGATTGACAGGAGTATGGGAAGGAGGTTGCTGTAACCATGCAGTTTGGATTCTGCCTGCTTTCTTTCTGTCTCCCAAATAGCTGGTTTTTGTCAGAGTCCTGGGGATTTCTTCCCCACAGGAGGGAGAGAGGCCTGACAAAGCAGCCAGCAGCTACCTTAGGAGAGTTTCATGGCAAGGAGGGGGTAGAGCACTGCTGGTGCTTAGGCTTGTTTTGATGGCGAATATGAGAGCTCTGTACCCCTTGTTTTCTTCTAAAGCTCTTGTAGCCCGGTGAATATTACCCTGGGAACACCAGTGTACGGATCATAGTGAAACTCACCCTTTCCCCCCGAAAGATCAGCTCTCAGTTAAGGCAGATCAGTAAGACAAATGTTTATTTCCAAATACCACTGGGGGAAACCAAACGAATAATTACCCAATGTCTCAGTGACGGTCAGACGCCTTTATAAATGCCTTTTAGAAGGGAGAGGGAGAATGTGGAGTATGGGTACAGCAAGTGGTTGTTAGAAAGGATTAATAGGCTGGGCGTGGAGGTTTACTCATATAATTCCATTACTCTGGGAGGCCGAGGAGGGTGCATTGCTTGAGGTCAGGAGTTAGTGACCAGCCTGAGCCAGATCAAGACTCCATCTCTGAAAATAGCCTGGCATTGTGGCTGGCGCCAGTAATCTCAGCTACCTAGGAGGCTGAGGCAAGATCATTTGAGCCCAAGAGTTTGAGGTTGCTGTACGCTATGATACCAGAGAACTCTACCCAGGGTGACAAAGTGAGACTTTGTCTCCAAAAAAAAAAAAAAAAGTAGGAAAGGATGAATAGATGGGGGAAACAGATTGCCTTTAAATTAACCTGAGAGACAGCTATTGTGTTTTAAATGACCAGGTCTGCTAGTGTACTGGGGGAGGAAAGGAAGTCAGCTGCCCCCTGTGATCCCCTGATCAGGTCAGTCTGGTTTATGCAGGTAGAGGGAAAGCCTTTTCAAATGTTTTCTGATTATGAATCGCCTTTAATTTAAAATATTCTTTATGTTAAGTAGTCATATTTTGGGATAAAATTTCCTTTGTTCCTTCGCCAGGAGAGGGGTCAAAATTTCAGGAGGACCAACAATTTAAAGGAGCCATCAAGTTTGAAGGTAGAGAACTGGTGAGTGAAACAGAGAAGGCACAATTTCTGACAGGTGTTGAGCTGTCTGGCAAGGGAGTACCCAGGGGTTCTAAATCCTGAGCCCAGGGGCCTACAACTTTACTGGAACGGAAGTGGCACTGTGCATTGCTCAAAAGAGCTAACACTTATGTGAGGATTGCTAATACCATGTCACCTGGAGGCCCATAGCCATTCCTTCCGTTTAAGAAGATTAATTTATAACTTAATTCTGGTAAGTTATTAATTCTGGTGGTAATTCTAGACCTTAAAAAAAAAAGATTAACTTTATTTAAAGCTACTTTTTTTTTTTGAGATAGAATCTTGCTCTGTCACCCTGCCTAGAGTGTGAGTGCAGTGGCATCATTATAGCTCACAGCAACCTCTAGCTCCTAAGTTCAAGCCATCCTCCTGCCTCAGCCTCCCAAGTAGCTGGGACTACAGGTGCCCACCATGATGAACAGCTAAATTTTTTTTTTTTTTTTTTAGAGAAGAGTCTCACTTTTTCACCCTCTGTACCTTGGTAGAGTGCTGTGGTATCACAGCTCACAGCAACCTCCAACTCCTGGGCTTAGGTGATTCTCTTGCCTCAGCCTCCTGAGTAGCTAGAACTATAGGTGCCTGCCACAATGCTGGGCTATTCTTTTGTTGTTGTTGCAGTTTGGCCCAGGCCAGGTTTGAACCTGCCACCCTCCTCAGTATATGGGGCCAGCACCCTACCCACTGAGCCACAGGTGCCGCCCTGCACAGCTAAGTTTTTCTACTTTTTGTAGAGATAGGGATTTCACTCTTGCTCAGGCTGGTCTTGGACTCCTGAGCTCAAGTGATCTTCCTACCTCAGCCTATGATTACAGGCATGAGCCACTGTGCCTGGTCATAAACTACATTTGATTACTCATTCCACAAGGGATATTGTAACAACATTAATAAATAATAAACATGTTCTTTTAAATTCTCTACCTTACATTTCCGTTATCTTAACAGAACAAGATCCATTGTTGGGTGTACCTTTTCAATTGTAGCCAATATGCTTATAGCTTTTCATGATTTTAACCATAGCATTAATGCCATTAAAAAAAAGCTTAACATTGTGGCTACATATTTTCCTGATTATTTTTAATAACTGCATAATACAGGGTGGCCATAAAGTTTGTGTGCAATTAAAAATTGCACACTATTTTAAATTGCATGAATTTTAAATTCCATGAACTTTATGGCCACCTTGTATTCTACTGAGTAGATAGGTCCTAACTCATGAAACCAGTCTTAATTGTTGGACATATAGGTGGCTTTTATTAAAAAAATTATTAGCTGTATCTATGTCAGGCAATCAATACAGCTGTTGGAAACATGTAATTGAATTCTTTTTCAAATTAATAGCCAGACATTTTCTTTACCTTTCTTTCTGAGATTGTGCATGTCCAGGCCTTGGTGAATATTTTCAGTGTGCTGTACTGCAAGGTGAGGGTAAGGTCTGTGGAATCAGAAGAAAGTGAGAAGGAGACGAGGCTGAAGTCTTCAAGAAAGTATGATGATCCCAGCTTCAGGGATTCCTAATGCTGAATCCTTGATGGGGTGACCAACCACCTCTGTGGTCCTAGGGTTTCCTAGGCCAGGTGTCCAGTGCTAAAAATGTGAAAGTGTCTGGGAACCCTGGATGAGTGGGTCATCCTAGACCTGGGTATGGAGGCTGGAACTGAGAAGGGAGTGAATCATTTCTATAACTCAACCCTGAGTCCTAGCAGCAGCAATTCAGAGAAAGCCTGCTCACACACTGCTATGCAGCCCTCACCCTTTATGTAGGAGTCTAAATAGATATTTATCTCAGGTTATTAGTGTGCTCACAGAAAAAATTCATTTTTTTCACCATTCATTTATTTATTCACGAAATACATATAGAACACCAGGGATTATTCTAGGCACAAGCAAGACATATTTCCTGCTCCTTCTGGTATGTGTGCATGTGTTTACTGGAGGAAGGAAACAGAAATGAATGGAAAAACATGAAATAAACAACGATGGCCATGATACACACAATGGCGGAGATAAGATGGATTCACGGAATAAAAACTGCTGGGGGTGGGGTGCCACTGGCTTAGTGGTCAGGGACGGTCACTCCAAAGACCTGACACTAGAGGCAAACCAATGATGAGAGGAGTGGCCAAGTGAAGGTCCACAGGAAGCACTGGGGTACAAGGAGCAGTACAGGAGGCCCCCAGTGGAGACCACAGTGTCCTCCTGTGGCTGCTAGGTAGGAAAGGAATGCTGACCAACAAGCAGCGTAGCAGTGACTCAGTCCCAGCTGTTTTCACGAACAAGGATGATAAGGCAGCCGAGGTCCCCGTGTCTTGTCCACAGTTCCTCGGCTCCTACTTCAGCACCCAAGGCCAGGCTGCCTTTCCTGGATTTGACTTAATTTTCTCCTCTTGTACAGAGGAAGTAAATCAAAGACACGAGAGAAATTGGTATTGGAATTTTTAACTGATGGACACAAGAACCAAAAACTTTGGCCTCAAGGTAATTAGAGGAACTTTGGGGCCCATACTGAGCGCCCCCAGGTTGTGGGGTCCCAGGAAAGGTTCTAGATATGCTTCTGCAACCTCGAGTGAAGATGAATACATATTTTGCAGCCTGCGAGGAATTGAAAATGAAACTAGTCACAGGGAAAGCAGCCCCAGTCGACCTTTCACTTGCCACTGAACTTATGTAAATCGAGAACCTGGATGCTACAGGTGGAAGAAATAAACGGCTTAAGAGTTTATTTAGGCAGACAGGTGCAACTTCAGGCGTGCGTGCCATTCATAAAAGGTGGAGGCCGCCGGGGAGCCTCAGCTGCGGCTGACTTTGATAACTCAAACAGTTAACACAACCCAAACTCACGCAGAGGTGGGGAGAAAAACCACACCCCACGGGGGTGCGGAGCCAACTCAAGGGAGACGAATCCGATTGGCAGGAGGTAGGAAGCCGGCCCCTGGGCGCGGCCTGCGGGGGGCAGGAGACCGCCGGGGGAAGCCGGGGGCCAGAGCCCGGACAGCAGTCGCCCGCAGCTGCAGGGAGCTCGCGTCGCGCCTCCGCCCGGTGCGCCCCACTCGGCCCGCTGACCCCGCGCTGCGCCCCGCCACTGGCATGTGTGCCGCCCAGATGCCGCCCCTGGCGCACGTCTTTCGAGGGACATTCGTCCACTCCACCTGGACCTGTCCCATGGAGGTGCTGAGGGATCACCTCCTCGGCGTGAGCGACAGCGGCAAAGTAAGTGAGCGCAGGGTCCGGCGCACCCCGGCGGGCGGGCCAGTGGAAGGAGCCCGGAGGGGTCCCCTGCCCGGGGCTCGCTCGGTGCGGCGCGGGCGCGCGGCCCCGGAGTTCAGCTTTGGGTTCTTGGGGAACGCAAGGACACCCTGGAGCTAGATCCGAGGGCTAGCTCCCGAGTAACGAGGTCCCAGAAGCCAGGAGCGGTGGAGTACTCACACCACTACCCGGTCCCCAGCCATCCAGGCTGCGGTCGAAAGGGGGAAGCAGGGGGGCCACGTCCTGACTCTCCAACCTTAGGACAGGGATGGAAACCCGAGCTTCCCTACGTTCCTCTTTACATCTCCCACCTAGCACAGTGCCGGGCTCAGGGTGGGCGCTCCATGGACATGATTGAATCAAGAGGTAACAGTGCAGGGAGGAGTTATTTGATCAGGGTTTAGTGCGTCCAGGACATAGAATAAAAAGAACTGATCCAATGATTCAACAGAGATAATTACTGATGATGCAGTCTCGACAACTTGTAATACTAGAAAGGATAGTCTGAAAGAAAATACACGTCCCCCCCCCCCGCACACCCCCTCCCCCCATACACATATACACACACGCCATGGCCATTTGCATCAAAGCTAGCAGTTCCATTTTAAGGTTCAAAATGTCTTCTTTGAATATATCTTCTATACTTTTCCAAAATCAAGATTACGAGTGATACAGGTAACTCCCGTTCCATACACACAGACAGGTGGCTATATCAGCTATGGCTTGCCAGTTTGATAAGTGAAGCTATTCCATTTTTAGAAGAAAAAGAATATGGGGATGGGATATTTTTGAGCTGTTTTCCAACTACCAGTTTGCTTAGGAAAAGTGCGCGTATTTGTTATTTATTGGGTTGAAGATACTATTTTTGACTAAAGATGCTACCAAGTCAGTGACAGTTTTGCATCATATGACTCTTACATTTGGGGGTAACCAAATCCTATTTTCTTATGGCGCTTAAAAAATATTCTCTCTATGCACATTCGGGGAGTCTGCTGTTGTGTTTCCAAGGCAACAAAACTCTCAGAGCTATCCCAAGTGGGGAAACTCATTAATTCTGAAACTGATGAATCCATGCATGGGGTCTTGGCCCTCAAATTTCAGGAAACTCTCAGGTTTGGGGCAAGTCCCAAAATGCAAAGGAAAAGAGACTGCTAAACTTGTGAAAGATTGGAAATTTGTGAAAATTTATTTCCTAGGCCAGGTGAAGTGTCTCATGCCTGTAATCCTAGCATTTTGAGAGGCTAGGGTGATAGATAGCCTGAGTTCAAGAGTTCAAGACCAGCCTGAGCAAGATCTAGACCCTGTCTCTCATACATAGCTGGGAGTTGTGGGAGGTGCCCGTAGTCCCAGCTACTTGGGAGGCCCAAGAGTTAGAGGTTGCTGTGAGCTATGATGCTATGAAACTCTACTCAGGGCAACAAAGTGAGACTCTGTCTCAAAAAAAATTAATTTTCTATATTTAGAAATTCTAATTGATAGGGTAGCAGGCTAAAGGGTGTGATTGGGGATTGGCTTTAATCAGTGGAAAGAAGTAACAAAAGGAACTGATTTATCTGAAAAATTACCTTTTCTGGGGATTGTATGGAAGAAGAATAAAAGAGTATCCTGAACATGCAATTAGTTGAGTCAGGGAATCTATTCCTAAGGAAAGATCACACTGAAGTTATAAATTTAGAAAATGCTATTTATTTCCCCACAAGATTACTTAAGAATTGAATAAAAGGTGAGTTAGTCAAGTGGCTTAGATGCAAGGTCTAGAACTCCCTACTCTGAGAATCGATAACTACTGCTTTCCTACCAGATGCGAGCAGTTGATTCTTGGATGTGTCATACACATCTCAAAACTTGATTTTCTTCATTTTGAAATGGGGGATATCTCGCCTTTGGGGTTGTCAGGATAAATATTTGTATTAGAAATTTTCAGTATTCAGGCCGGCACCTGTGGCTCAGTGAGTAGGGCGCTGGCTCCCTATACCAAGGGTGGCGGGTTTGAACCCGGCCCCAGCCAAACTGCAACAAAAAAATAGGTGGGGCTCGGCGCCTGTGGCTCAAGCAGCTAAGGCGCCAGCCACATACACCTAAGGTGGCGGGTTCAAATCCCCAGCCCAGGCCCGCCAAACAACAATGATGGCTGCAACCAAAAAATGGCCGGGTGTTGTGGCGGGCGCCTGTAGTCCCAGCTACTTGGGAGGCTGAGGCAGGAGACTCGCTTGAGCCCAGGAGTTTGAGGTTGCTGTGAGTGTGATGCCATGGCACTCTACCCAGGGGGATAGCTTGAGGCTCCGTCTCAAAAAAAAAAAAAAAAAAAATAGGTGGGCGTTATGGCAGGTGCCTGTAGTCCCAGCTACTTGGGAGGTTGAGGCAGGAGAATCACCTAAGTCCAAGAGCTGGAGGTTGCTGTGAACTGTGATGTCATGACACTCTACTGAGGGCAACAAAGTGAGACTCTGTCTCTAAAAAAAAATAAATAAACAAATTTTCAGTATTCATAAAAGAAAATAATATCCCTTGAAATAAATATGTTGAATCATCATGATCTTTAAATTTTTACTGAGTTCCTAAAGCTGTTCTCAAACCTAGGGTTGAATCAGAGACATCTAGGGGTGCTTTATAATATGTTTACTCCTATCCCCAGAGGAGCTGAATCTGCAAGTCTGGAGTGGGCCCCAGAAAGTGCGTTTCCATAAGCATCCCAGGAAATTCAGACACAGATGTGGGTGGATTACATTTTGAGTAACTGTAGCACGTAGTTTCTGTGATGGGACCAGTTGCATGAAGTGTCAGGAGTTTGTTTCTCCATTTTCAAGCCTAGATCTGGGGCAGCATCTCAGAGAGAAGGAACACACCTTCCTCTGTCCTTCTCTCTTCTAGGCCTCCTTCCTTGTTATAGATAATTTCATTTATGTCCAGAGAATGATAATGACTAACTGCTTTTAATACAATAAATTAAAGCTAATTTAAAATCAGGTTAATATAAAAAGAAATCCTCTAGCTGACATTCTGTTATTGAGCAAAATTCAGAGTTTTTCTACCCCAGTGTCATGTAGCTTTTTAAAGTAAAGACTATATAACATGTTTAATTCATTTGACACTGTGTGCTCAAATCTTACTAAATTGCCTGATTCTTCCCACATACAAAATACAGCAGGGTCAGATTGACTTTAAAGATACATACAGATGCCTTGGGACTTTCAACGTGCACTTACCCAGAAGCAAGAGGAAGGAAGAGAATAATTTTGGAGGCTGGGGTAACAGAATCAAGTCCTCTGGAGAAATAAAGACCTGAGTTCAGTTCTCCATTTCTCCCCTGCTCTGAGACCATGGCTGAGACCTAACCTAGCAGAGCCTCCATTTCTTCATGTGTAGAATTGCTGTTGTTATGTATTAAGTGAGATAATGTATGAAAATGCCCAACACTTAGTGGATACTTAGAATGTACCATGTTCCTTCTGTCTCTTTCCTTGTCTTGGTCCCTGATATATTCTTAACCCCTTGCTCCTGGTGGTAGCATTTTCGCATGTTTTCACTTGGTGGCCCCTGTGTACACCAGATGGTGGAAAAAGAAGCCAGGCCTGTGACAAACCGTGTAGGATGGTCACAGGGCCTCAGCGATGAGTCTTCACTGCTCCTGTCATTGATCTACTGGGATGGAAGGATGAATCTGGGAAGGCAGATCTAAGGGGCATTTGCTCCTAGGAGTGCTAGCTCATTGTTTCAGTATCATTTTTGGTCTTTACGATGTCATTATTCCCATTTACAGATTGTTGTGGTATAAATGGAATTTAATGTGGGCCAAAGGCCATATTCTCTTTCTTATAGCTGGATGCTTCCCTCGGGTACAGTCTTTGACCTTCAGAAACTTGTATGTCAGCAAGGGAGCTAAGACTTGTAGCCAATAATAAAAGTGGACTTATTCCTAAGTTAACCACTGGGTTCATCACTGGAGATAAAGTGATGAATGGAGCATGCAAACTCTGCCCTGCCTTTGTGGAATCAATAATTTAGTGATACATTAACAGAATCTGTGATGACCTATCAGAATTTGGACTAGTCTAGGGGTGGAGGAAAGGCTTTTCCCCATGTGAAGTGATATTTAAATTGTTATCTAAAGGATGAGTAGAAATTAAATAGGTAGGGCAGGCAGGATTGGAAGTAGAAAAAACCTTTCAGGTGGGTGAACAGCCTGTGCAAAGATCCTGGGGTAGAAAGGAATGAAAGGGTAGTTGGAGTCCAGAGGTGGAGGAGGAGGAGGAGGATAGCACAAGATAAGGCTGGACAGGTAGGCAGAGCAAGATCACGGAGGACATTTGGGCAGTTGGAATGGTGGTGTTGGTGCAGGGACTGTGCCATGATTGTATTTTGTAGTTTTTAAAGGTCATTATAGCTTCAGGATAAAGAATGCATTGGAATGGAGGTAAGCACAGCTAAGGAGGTCAAATAGGAGACTCCTAAAGTAGGTTAGGTGAAATGGAATGTGGTTAAATGAGAAAAGCAGTGTAAAGTATCAGTTAAGGTATGAACTCCTGGGCAGCACCTGTGGCTCAAAGGAGTAGGGTGCTGGCCCCATATACCGGAGGTGGTAGGTTCAAACCCAGGCCTGGCCAAAAATTGCAAAAAAACTCCCAATAAGATACGAACTCCTAAGGGTACCTCAGTTACTACATATGTGCTTTTTATTTGAGACAGAGTAGAGTGCCCTAGGTAGAGTGCTATGGCATCACAGCTCACAGCAACTTCTGATTCTCTTGCCTCAGCCTCCCAAGTAAATGGGACTACAAGCATCCACTACAATGCCCAGCTATTTTTTTTTTTTGTCATCGTAGTTGTTGTTGCAGTTGTCATTGTTGTCTTAGCTGGCCCTGGCCGGGTTCTAACCTGCCAGCCTTGGTGTATGTGGCTGGCGCCCTACCCACTGAGCTATGGGTGTTGCCTTACCTATGTGCATTTGATCAAGTTATTTAGCA